TTAAAGTACAAAACCGCGTATCAACAAAATGCAACGACGATATGTATATTAAGATCTTGCGTAAAGCATCCTTTTAAGCTAATTTAAGCAATTGCGCTTATACTTATTTTGGTGAGATCTTTTCATATGTTCATTGCTTCGTTCACAAAAAATAAAATGCTTTAATTTCACGCTTAAGTAGCGATTCTTTATACGTTTAGAAAACGTAATGCTTTCTACCATCTTTAATGAAAATCGATTTTTGAACGAAAAAAACTTTATAGGAAATATAAAATTTTGGCCTATTTAAAAAAGTATCCACATTTATACTGACCGGAAAAAATAAGTATCCCGCAAAAATTCGTCTAAAAATGTATCCAATTGGATCTATTTAGATCCAAACGGCATCCCTGCTTGTGACTACAGGCCAGTGGAATTATCAAGAGAACAATTCAAATATTATTGAAAAAAGATAAATTTGAGATTAACGATAAGCTAAAGGGCTGCGAGAAATGATATTTGACTTTATCTTTGGCGTTAACGGATTCATTATCTAATAATATGCACCAAACTTTTTTGCTAAACCCGGAATTTTCAACAAAAATTGATCTTACTCGGCTAGTGTGCTGTCACTTGGAGGTCGATGCGCGGGCTCTTACAATTAAAATAAAAGACTAATATTTTGCAGGCTTGTTGTTGATTTCATGATACAATATATTTACGCTATTACCAAGGGATTTGAGAAAAATTAGACTTTCGACCCGCCCTAATGTACTTATCTCCCAAAGCTGGCAAACGGAAATAAGGATTCAAGTTTTAAAACTAATTAATAAAATTAAAGTAAACTATTTATAAAGTTAGCAAAAAATTCTTTTTTCGCAAAATCTTTAAAGGACTCTTTTATTTTTCGAAAAACCTATGCGACAGTTATTATTTTACGCCCTGTACTTTGCCATTCATATTGTGGCAAACAAACACTACTAAGTAAGTAAAGTTAAGTGTGATAGTGAAAAGGTGTAAGCATGGTCGTAGGNTCTTTTTTCGCAAAATCTTTAAAGGACTCTTTTATTTTTCGAAAAACCTATGCGACAGTTATTATTTTACGCCCTGTACTTTGCCATTCATATTGTGGCAAACAAACACTACTAAGTAAGTAAAGTTAAGTGTGATAGTGAAAAGGTGTAAGCATGGTCGTAGGCAGGTAGGTGCAGGGCGCTCGGGATAAAAATCAGAAAATTTTTAAATTATAAAATGAAAAAATTGCCATACATTCAGGAATAGCCTGGAATTCTTTTGTAGAATTTAGTTATTTATTTTTAACATTTATTGTTGCTTTGAAAAAGATTTCTATGATATCCGTGTTTGTTTGTACCTAAATAATGCTAATTTGTAACAATAAATTGCACAAAAAAATTAAAACAAAAATTGTACTCCTTTTTTAAGTTCTGTACTGCTTTTTTTCTATCGAAAATATAAATGTACTCCTTTCTCCGTTTCAGAATCTGGCAACCCTAATCACTCAGCTCTACGGATTGTGCCACAAAACTGCATTGCTTATAATGGTCGCGTTCATAAGACGTAGCTGTTTAGCTCATCTGCTATGAAACTGCTGGCAACTGTTGAACCCAACAATTACGACTTAGAAACGGCTTGATTAATATGCTGCCAAATGAACAGCTGATAAATGTAAACAAACGAAATTGCAACAAATAGAGTTAGTTACGCCGATACTATTTACTACTTTGACGAAATAAATTAGCGTTTTAATTTTTCGACATTTGCGGTCAATAAGGTATAATAAATTTGTTTGCAACTGCCACCTAACAAAGCGGCGTTAAATTTAATATCAGCGGCGTAAGTCTTTTGGATCAGCTGTTTAGGCTAATCCCAACACGTTGAGTTCAGGTAGCGTAAATTTTCCGCTGGAAAAAATGGCGGAAAGTTACCAACTGTTGGTCTGAGCGTAACTACTCAACAGTGCGTTTCCAAGACAAATAGCCAACGGTTGGGCAACAACTACGTCTGATAAATGCGCCCAATATCAGAACCAAAGCAACTGTACTTATAGGGAATATATTGGCACCATATTCACTTGTATCTTCGTTTCGCGTCATTATGTCTGGAAAAATATTTTTTTTTTTTATTATCACTTTTATTTCAACACATTTTGATTAAAAGATAAATGCTGATAAAAATAAAATATTTCACACAAACAACAAAAAATATAATCGATGATCGGATGAGGCTATTGCACTTAGTGCAGTGGTCAAGGCTGCCAACTTGGCTCAAACCGTGCCATTTTTGGCCCTGTTTTGCGTCAAATGGCACTTATCTTTCAATTTGGCACAAAGTGCTAAAATGGCACTTTTGAAAAATTGTAGTATTTAAATACATTTTTGTGAAATCCTTTGCGTGTACTTCTTCCTCTCAACTAAGATTTTCTAGCTTCTTTAGTGTATACAACTGGTTTATCTTACTTTGGCATTAGACTTTTGTTATAGGAATGTTTTTCTAATGCTAATGCTAAATGGGAAAAATTTAAAAGAATAGCCCCTTTTTTGGCACTTTTATTTTTTTATTTGGCACATTTTGGCACTTTTTTATCCTCAATATGGCACCTAATAGCCAAGGATAGTTGACAGCCCTGGTTACAAGGTCTTATCGAGCGTATTGTGTGATCGCAAGATCAAAGCAGAGATTTCACAGTTGGGAATACGACGTTTTAAAATTGACATTTAATTTGTGTTGTCATCGTATCACAAAGTAATATTCTTGAGTTAAGTTTGTTTCTTAGATGTTAGTTAAAATAGCTTAGTTTTTAGCTTAAATTCAGCCGTACCATACCTATGACCTTTTAATAAAAATCAATTTATTATATAAAAATCAAATTTCCGGCTCATACATTTTTCAAAATACAAACCTGAGATATTTAGCGTTTCTATATAGTAAAACATCGTAGAATTTGCATTTTTCGAAAATATCAATATGCACATGGGAGGTCAGCGTGGTTAATGTCCGATGTTAAAAAAATGCAAAGAATTTTTGAATGGTGCTAACAGTAATGAGTGTACTAAGTTGGGATGAAATCGGTTAGGCGGGTACATATATTGCATGATAAGTGGGCTTGGCCCCGCCCATTTTAAACAATTTATTTAACACTACATTCTTTTCTTAAAGTTCACTCTTTATACATATGGAAGGCAAGCACAGTTTTAGGCCGATTTCACCCATTTTCATTACTAACCTAGCCTAGACAAATAGAAAAGTGCACCAAATTTTATTGCGAAATGCCATTTAGTTTCCGAGAAAATAGTTTTCACCTTTGCTCCATATAAGCTGAACCACTGTGCGTTGTGTTGATAATGTTTTGTAGGAAAATATTAAGCGAAAAACTATGTATGCACATAAGTGTGTTAATCATGAGGCAAGGAAGGTGATAGCGTAATTCATTTATTAAGATAACAGATGCTAAATACTTCATCCGTACATACTATGTATATATGTACATATGTACTAGGAATGATAATCCCGCGATCCCGGCATTTTTAAGGTCCCAAAAATCCCGGGATTGTTGGCACATAATCCCGGCATTTTCGGGATTTGTAATTTGCACTGATGGCAATAATAGAAACTCCTTTTCTTGACCAGTATTGGCTATATTTCTTTTTAAATAATTACAGTTTTTTTTTTAATTGTCTAGCTCATTATATATAACACCGCGCGATAGTAAATTTTTAATACAAATATCAATATATTCGCGAAACCATGGGCCAAATATAGTAAATTTGCGTTTTTAGTTTTTCACTCTGATGTCAGTGATTCAAAATTGTTTTAAACAAGTAAGAAAGTCTAAGTTCGGGCGCAAGTATACCCGGCGAAAGTATTAAATATATGTTTTTTCACCTTTCCGAAACCTTCCGCTAGATGGTAAGCCGGGGTGTATCAATTTTGAGTAAATTAGCGTCCTTCAATTTCGAAATATTGAAGTTTCAAGCATTTCTGAAATTTACCGTTATATGAGAAGCGGCCGTTATTTTAGTCCGATTTCAATAATTTTCAACGTTTTGCTTACATGTGGCAAGCACAATAACCATACCGAGTTTGGTACAAATTGGTAGAACGGTTACCGAGATACATATATGTGATCATAAGTGGGCGGTGCCACGCCCATTTTCCAAAATTTTACCATAAACGTATTTCTTGGTAAAGAATTGTTGCAAGCATCAATTTTGAATAAATTAGCTTCAATATTTACTGATTTATCGAAGATTTTGTATTTCTCTAAATTACCGTTATATGGGATGTGGGCGTGGTTATTGTCCGATTTTAAAAAGTTTCGGCGGTTTTTTATGCTGTGCCAAGGCCAACAACTGTGCCAAGTTTGGAAGAAATTGGTGCAGCGGTTACCAAGATATACACATGTAACCATAAGTGGGCGTGGCTACGCCCATTTTCCAAAAATTTATAATATTCTTATTTTTCGTCTAAAAATTATTGTAAATATCAATTTTGAGTGAATTATCTTCAGTAGTTACTAAAATATCGCAGTTTTCGTATTTCTGGAAATTACCGTTATATGGGAAGTGGGCGTGGTTAAAGTCCGATTTCGCCCATTTTCAATACCAACCTACCTTGGATTAAGGGAAACCTACGTACCAAATTTTGTTGAGATATCTCAATTTTTGCTCGAGTTATCGTGTACACGGACGGACGGACAGACGGACAGACGGACGGACAGACAGACATGGCTTAATCAATTTATTTTTTCATCCTGATCATTTAGGTATACATTTGTCTATATCTATCTCGATTCGTTTTGGCTGTTACAAACAACCGTTATGTTAACAAAATTAATATACCCTTGTGCACAAGTGCGCTCGGGTATAAAAATTCAGAGGTATGAGCTCACAGAAAAAGTATGGGTATCAATTTAAAGAGGACCAGAAGGACTGGTAAGTATTGAAAATGTTCTTTTAAAATTTTATCCTTGCAATTTCGCAATATTTGTTTTTGAAAAAGTTACATGTTAAGGACTTATATAAACTCGATAACATCCTCTAATTTCGTCCTTCTAACTTTATCGTTCTTATGAATCCAAAAAATTTTAATTATTTTGAATTCTAAAGAAATTTCCTCTTGCATTTGGTACCCATATATTTATTCTACATTGCATTGAATTTTTTAAATAATTTTTGGAATTAATCATATCCCTTGAAATCATACCTTTAAAATAAATCCTGACGTCAGAGAGAAAAAATAAAAATGCCACTTTNGTTCTTATGAATCCAAAAAATTTTAATTATTTTGAATTCTAAAGAAATTTCCTCTTGCATTTGGTACCCATATATTTATTCTACATTGCATTGAATTTTTTAAATAATTTTTGGAATTAATCATATCCCTTGAAATCATACCTTTAAAATAAATCCTGACGTCAGAGAGAAAAAATAAAAATGCCACTTTAAACAAAAAAGTAGGTTTAAAACCCATTTATTTATTATTTATTTCATGGTAGGAGAGCTTCTCAAACAATATAGAATAAATCTTTTCGATTTAAGTTGTTGAAAAGTAATGAATATCCAAATCCCGGGATCCCGGGATTGTGATAACGACATCCCGAAAATCCCAGGATCGGAAAAAACTGAAAAATTAACATTCCTAATATGTACGTATACGTATGTATGTAGGTAGAATGTGTGTAGTGCATTTAGGTCGAACTCATTGAATCGCGCTATTTTTTTAAAGCTGAAGCACCCACTTGCGAATCAAGAGACGTGTAAACAATTATCAGAAGTAATTGGGTAATTTTACATTTGTTTGTAGTAGGTATCTTGATACAAGCAAACCTGTGGGAAAATTGGCCCTACAAAAGTGCTACTTCCTTACAACGTACTATGCAATTCAACACTAAGCAAAAGGGAATAGTAGATGCTTGATTTCTCACTGCAACTTCTTGACAAAGTGTTTTTATTTCCCATTGCTTTTCGAATACTGAACAGATAAGTTGTTTGTGAGAAAATATTGAAAACATAACGCAAATATTTTTAGTGGTATTTCATATACATATCTCAATTCTAAATTCAAACAAACAAAAAAAGAACGAATAAGTTAATTGTTAAAGAAAATATTTTTAAGCAAGCTTTCTAAACGTGAACAGAATCGCACCATAAATACTGGTTTACCAGACTCTTGCGCCACCTAACGTCAAAATTTTTAATGGAGTTATATTTTTTCATGTAGTTAATATACATACGTTCTAAATATGAACCAAATCGGACTAAAAATACGAGGTTTTCAAATATCTCGACTTGTGCGCCATATCGGATTAACTCACCTTTCGTATTGCATTGTCATCGGGTTCTGAGTCAACTTTGAAGTTTCAAGTCTCTAGGTCATCGGGAAGGTGGTCAAAAATTTATTGCAAGATTTATCCCTAGCAAACATACATACATGAAAAATGGTGTGAAGAACAACAACAATTTGCATATAAGCAGAAATTCTTCTAGCTATATGTAAATTATTGTTGTTTTTCCACAAAAATAGTATATAAAGGATGTAGCACTGGAAGTAAGACCGCGGATTTTGTCAAAATTATAACAAAATTGTCGCTTTCAATCTAACCTTATTAATTGTTATTTAAAAATGCACATTAAGGTCATAAATACGTACCATGATGCGTTTCAATTAATGATAATTTGTAGCAAACATAGCACTCGCACCTCAAAGGGTTAACTTGTTTGTTTACAAATTTTTGACATTATAACTAGCTACAAGAGAGTTTGAGCTAGTTGTCACTTCTACCTTATTAAATATGCCTTGGTTTTCAAGAATTTAAAAATCATGTAGAATTGAAAATTAAAATTTGAAGTTGTTCAAATTATTTTTTGAGATTGAAAATGACAATGTGTTTGTGAGTTTGAGTTGGGAATTTTTAAATTATATTCCTTGAAAACGTCAGACTTACCTTGTAATGTTTTTATCATGGGTTATACCTACGGTGACCATATTTATGAGAGCCGAATACGGGACAAAAAATAATTTTGCAAGTTTTTTCCACATTGTTTTCCCTGAAACAGTATACCTATAGTAACATCACAAATTTGTAGGATAATTTTCTCGAGATTTTTACCCCGTAAAGTTTCTTAAAAAAAATCGTTAAATTTTAGTATAATAAAGTGCAATTTTAAGTCGGTAAGGCTTACCACTAATTTTTGGCAATTTTTTTTTTTGTTGACGGTGTTAAGCATTTTTTTCGTACAAAGTAAGTATGTTCGACCTTTTTTTTGAAAGAGAAGCAGCACTTTCCACTCGCACTTTATTGTACTCAATTTTAATGAGTTACAAAACTGCAAACCGAATTTTTTTCTAAAGATTCTAATTAAAAGTTTTGAAATTTTGGCGAAACAGCGCAGAATTAATTTTTATAGTTTTTTGCACAAAGTTGGAAATTTGGTATTATGTATGTATATGGGTTTTGTTAGGAAAAGAGCTTTACTTTTATAAAATAAAAATATAAACATTAAATAAACTAAGGAAAAATAGCCAAAACTTACTAAAATGTCGAGTCCTAATTTCTATTTTGGCCACTGTAATTATTCCTCGATTCGAATCACAGGCATTCAGATTAGAAAATAATAACTGTTTATAAAAAAATTACGATCATACTTATAACAAGATCACTTAAAACTCGTTCATAGGTATGCCATTTTAATAAGCTGTTAAGGCGTCAGAGCACCGAATACGGGACATTAAAACAAATACAGAACATTTGGCGTCCCGTATAAAATAAATTAATTACCAGGACAATGGGTCAAAAAAGAGGACTGTCCCGTATAATACAGGACGGATGGTCACCGTAGTTATACCTTACTATCCCTTTATCATGCTCTCAACTTCACATTATGTAGCATATACAATTTTAATTTCTGCTGCTTCGTAAGGTGAACCATAAAATGTGGTTTTTATGGCTCCTTTCAATATTTAGCCCTTTCATCTGTATTTTGGCCCATTTTTTACCCGATTTCCGGCTAATTTTAAATTTTCAAATTCCATCCCTAATATGCATGTATGTACATACATACATACATTTTAAGTTGTTGTTGCCCTCTTCCTAGCCTTTGTAGATTCTTATCAGTGTTTATGGTGTCTATTATTTCATTTTATTCTTGCAAAACTATAAGTTGTAAAATGTCTTTAGTATATACATATGAAGAACTCTTTATCAAGCGTCTGTTGATTATACTTGCCTCTCTGAACTTACCATGTCGGCGCCCGATATATTATATAGTACATAACACAGACTACCGCGGAAATCCAGGGCTTCGCAGCACATTTTAAAAGAATTACTCTGGCAATCATACATACATACTTAAAATATACATATTTATACATACATATCTTTCCTAATATTTTGGCGCGAAAAATATTAGCATAGTCGTCAAAGAAAGATGATTAATCTTTAGAATTTAATCATTTATTTTTGAGCTATAGCCTATAGGCCATGTATTAAATAAAACATTTAAGGTTTTGCTGCTTTATTTACTTTTATTTTGGTCGATATTTCGCCTTCAATATGAAGGCATCTTTAGGAACTATTAGCTTTGTTCGGTCGACCAAACTAAAAGTAAATAAAGCAACAAAACTTTAAATGTTTATTTAATACACGGTCTATAGCTCAAAATAAAATATGTAAAATATTTTATATATTTATATAAGTTTAATAAAGTTTCATTCAAATTAGGAAAATATCAAGCATTGATACTAAATCGAGGAAAGCAAACATATTTGTACGTACATTAGACTGCATCACTCCCCATACAAAAAAAAACGGTACTGTTTTTCCATTATGAGATTAAAAGATCTATTATATTTTGAGGCATCCACCAAAATATTTCGGAAAAATATTAAGATTTAAGCGAGCTTGAAAATACCCCCAAAAATGGAGTTTTTTATGAATAAAGGTAGTTTCTTAAAGATGTTTTTTAAAAAAATCCCCTCAAATGACAAAACGGTTTAAGCTTAAAAATTAACATAAAAATAAATTTAAAAAAAATATTAAAAAATTTTGAACGGAATCGTGATAATGAGATTTTTGATGCTATTTTTTTTTTAATTTTTTCAAAGATTGGTATAAGAAAAACTTGAATAACTGAACCTAAACTCTTCCGATTTAGACTTATGAGATCTCAGTAGAAAGGTATTTTCCCACCCTTTTTATTTCTTTGCTAATGTTCAAAGGATGAAAGACAAAGGTGGGATGAACAAACATCATTCAAAGTTGAATTAAGATGTATTGGTATTTGAAAAAAAAATTGGAACACGAATGCCTTTTTTTCCACATAAATAAAAATAGTGGGAAAATACCTTACTACCGAGATCCCATAAGTCTAAATCAGAATAGTTTTGGCCCAGTTATTTAAGTTTTTCGTAAATCAATTTTTGAAAAAGTAAACAAGCATCAAAAACCTCATTATTACGATTCCGTTGAAAATATTTTTAAATATTTTTATGCAGATTTTTTAAGCCTAGTCTGTTTTGTAATCTGAGGGGACTATTTTCAAAAAGTAATTTAAGAAACTATTTTATTTTATTCATAAAAACTCCATTTTTTGAGGTATTTTCAAATCGGTCCAGCTCGTTTAAATCTTATTATTTTGCAGTCTAATGTACATACATATCTGTGGCATTTTATTAAAGCAACTTAAGTGACTTTAGAAAGTTTGACTTTGAATTAAAAAGTAATATGTTTCCAAGCTTATATCAAAAGGGTATCTTAAACTACACCACTAGCTAGTTAATCGTTGAAATATTGTTTGGGAACCTAATGAAATACACATTACTGTAAAGGAAATTGACACATTTCGACATAAGTTTTTTAATAAAATGCCACAGATATGTGCCTATACATGTTTGTATGTTTGCGTCTATATGGTATGTACATATGTACATTAGGGCGGTTCAATTTGTATGGGAGACTTTTTCAACTATACGCGTATAGCACAGAATGATTATAGGTGTAATTATAAGAAAATTTAACGAAGAAACCGTTTGTCTAAAATAAATTTGGAGTTTGCCAAATTGCGAAAATATGTTTCTTAGCATTTGGCTTTAGTTCGTAAAGAAGTGCTTACATTTTGTACAAAGACATGCTGTAAGGGGTTTTTTGCTATGAGGAATCCATTTCTGCAACTGTGTTTTTCTTAAAGCTTCCACGAGTGGGCTCAACAGTAAAACTTTTTGCATTTTCTTCGAAACCTATTTTCGCAATTTAGCAAACCCCAAATTGATTTTAGACCCATGGTTTCTTCGGCAAATTTGCTTAGCATTACATGCAGAATTCTCCTGTGATACTTGCATATTTGAAAAAAAAAATTTCCCGCCCTAATATACATACTTTAGAAAAAATTGCTGAGAGCATAGACTATATTGTCTTGAATATAGATACATACATACAGTGGTCGAAATAATTTATATCCGCATGACATTTTGGCATGTTTTAACATATTATTTTTGTTGTTATTTAATTTTTGCTCATTTTTTAATTAAAAATTGGTCCATTCTTTATTAAAACCCGTATAAATCCAAGTTAAAACAAATTCAACAAACTTTCGTAAAAATGCCTAGCTTTTTTAATTAGATTTTCTAGATAGATTCTGAGTATGCATCTTTGTAGCGTATTGAGTTCTAGTAGAACAAAGTACAAGTTTGAAATAGCTAAAAATTACGGTTGGTTTTTTACATTTATTTGTCCCCTTTGTCCCCCGAATACACCCAATTAATTTTTATATGGAAGAAACCGTAACATCTTCGACAAAGAAAAAAATCTAAAAAATCATAGGTATGTTTAGGCATTTCAAACTTTTTCTACTAAAATTCAATGGGGTACAAAACGGCATACTCAGAATCTTTCTAGAAAATTTAATTAAAAAAGCTAGAAATCCGTACGAAAGTTTGTTGATTTTTTTTAATATTGCACAAAGTTTGAAAAAATAACCAAAATTAAATAACAAAAAAATAATAATTGTTAAACTTATGAAAATTTATTAATAAGTTATTTCGACCACTGTAAGTATGTACATATGTATGTTGCATACATATGTATAATCAACGCCTGACACTATTTTTTTGGCGGTTTAATTTTTCTCCAATTTTAGTACACGAATTTACTAAATTAAGTTATATATGCACGGGTTTTAAAGCTATTTTACTTTTTTCAAGGTAAAGGTACACATTTTCACCCAAATGAGATTTAGAGAGCCAGAGTCTAGATAAAAATGATGAATACAGAAAATGGAGATAACCATTCAGATAGAGTAGTATATTAAATCATACATTTTATTATTGAACGATATATGTACATATGTACAAGGTTTTTTTTTGTCATGTCGAGCTTAAAATCTCACTTTTTATGCATGCAATTTGTACTTTCCATCTGATACATTTTTTAAAGAAATATTTTTATTACAAAGATTTTTCGAGCGGTATAAACATTTAATTCCGCAGTAAACCGTGTCGAGAGAGGATTAGATGTACTGGAATTTAAGTATGATTCTACTCCTATTTCAAACACCTTCGATAGAACATTCAGTTAGACATAATGAGATCAACTTATATAGTTATGTATGTGTGGGCGGTATCACGTCCATTATTTAAAATTCCATAATAATGTTAATTATTTTCAAGGGTTTGCAGTTCGTATCAATTTTGAGTAAATTAGCGTCCTTTAATTTCGAAATATCGAAGTTTCAAGCATTTCTAAAATTTACCATTATATGAAAAGTGTGCGTAATTTGAGTCCGATTTCAATCATTTTTAACGTTTTGTTTTTATGTGGTAAGCGAAATAATCGTACCAAGTTTGGTACAGATTGATCGAACAGTTACCGAGATATACATCCCTGGTCATAAGTGCGCGGTGTCACGCCCATTTTCTAAAATTTTATCATTAACGTGTTTTTTGCTAAAGAATTACTGCAATCATCACTTTTGAATAAATTAGCTTCTATATTTAATGATTTATAGAAGATTTCGTATTTATCTAAATTAGCGTTATATGGAATGTGGGCGTGGTTATTGTCCGATTTTAAAACTTCCGCCGTTTGGTATGTTGTACCAAGTCTAACAACTGTGACAAGTTGGTCGTACGAACAAGATGAACACAAACAAACAAAGACTAAATCAAAACCAAATCCAACCATCAAAACTTCGGGTGGTGGAGAGGATTCGAAACCGATCCCTCTCTTCCGCTCCTCTTTAAACGGGGCGGAATCGACTCATGGGCAGGGTGGGGCAGCTTCTGCAGGGTGCAGTTAGGGGTCGCAGCCGACCTCTTCGTGGACACTTCTCTGGTGGTGCCGGTGGGAACCCACCGCACCTAGACTCGGGGTTAGGGGCGCGGGCGAATTCGCCTGCATCCAGGACGGAGGCAGGGCCGAAGATGAAATCGTCTCCACATTCGTCTCAGGGATCGACGTCTCTAACCGGGTCCCTCCCGGATGCGCGTTGCAGGGAAAATGAGTATCAAAGCGAATTGTATGTACCGATGACCGGAGAGGGAGTGGTCACACGCTTTTCATTTTCAGTCTCATAAATTGTTTATAATGACTTTTGCTAAAATTTCAAAATCAAAAGTTATCAAAATAAGTTCTATGGGACTGAGAAATATTATTTTCTAATTTTAGCCCATTTATAAAAGCGTGGTATATTGAAGAGTTTTTTTTAATTTATTATATACTTTTTAGTCTTGTCTGTATAAAATTTTGCAATAGATACTAAAATAATTCAACTGGCAGTGAAAAGAGAACCGAAGAGTATGCAAGCAAAATGTTTGCTCACATTTAGTATATGCCTACATATGTACATACATACATATATCAGCAATTAATTTCATTTAAAGAAATGGCGTGTCGTCCATTTCCACTGTAGCGTATGTAGTGCATATTTTTAACTTCTTCTGGCGAGGCGACATCTATCTCTAGAGTTTTTCTAATTGTATGTCTTTGATATGATACCTACGACGAGGTTGATATCTAGACTAGGTTTGCCATAAATACCTTTGCTATATTTATAGTATAAAAATGGTGGTCTGGACATACAACATTACAAGTTGATAAAAGCGTTGTAATAATAGGAGTGTACTCGTGCGCCCAACTATCTAAAGTTTTAGAAACCTTTTACTGGTTTTGCGTTCTCGTACCCAAAAAACTTGCAAAATAGGGGAAATTGAGAGAGCAAAATATGAAAGAGAGCTGCAAATTTCTGCTGGAAAATTTTTTCCCAGCTAAAACTTGCAGGTAAGAAAATCAGCTGATCACAAACACATGTTTGTAAATAAACAAAAGCAAATATGTTCTTTTTGAGTTAGTTATTGCAAATTTAATTAATTAATTTTGAATGCGTCACCATATGATATCACAAATAATTATGAGAAATATAACTTATTCATTCCGATATAATTAATTTGTAGCTTAAAAAGGTTTTTCTTACCCTAAACTATTGAATTGTATAAAATGCCAAATCGGGGGAAAATATACCAAGCAGAAAATAAATTGCCAAATTAATCACCAGTGGCAACTGTGCAAGCGATCAGCTGTTTCGAAGGTTGCAAGTTTTTGCAAATTTAGCGTTCTCGTACTTCTGTTGATATTTCGTCTCTTTGAGAGCGAATGCTCCTAAATTCTCAGAAATTTTGCTGCTGGAGAATTTTGTCCTCTCAATACGAGTAAACACCTAATAAAATACAATTATTGCTTTCAAATAACGTCATCTTTTTCGAACATTCCGAATGTGTTCCGGATAAGTAAATTAATGATAATTGTAGTCGTTTTCTAGTCGTTTTCTATTCGTTTCCGGATACGGAAAATTGTACTAGAATGCACTGTCGGCAAAATTTACGTTTCTTTGCTGGCTGGGTAATTGATTTCAAATATACGAATGCAAAGAAGAGGGTAGTTGTTAGGCTACCTTGACCTGGGCCAATGTCTGCGGTTGACCAACAATTGAATATACATACATATGTATGTACGTAAATTGGAAGTAACTGTACATACATATGTACACGTATATAAATATTATATTGTGCACCAAAGAAAACACGTGTCGCAGTCATGACTATTGCAGGGTGTTTCACATTCGAAAATTTTTATCAATTGATACTATAGTTATAATTTATGTAGAAACGTGCTTTCGTCGACGTGTGCTTGTTGTGTTAATAACTTAACCCTTGTATTAATACCCACATTTTCTTACTTTGTCTAGCACCCGGGGTACCCGGGTACCCACTCAGTATTTGTTTTACTATTCTTCACAAATCCATTTTGCGGACTGAAATTTTTTTGTGAATATAGATTAAATTAAGAGAATTTAGTAATAAAAATTTCAAAAACAGTATGTGAGTCCCCTAACTACATTAAAATATATGTACATGTGCTATCGCAAACAAAGCAAACAAAGGCACAGACGAAAATAAATGTATGTATGGACATTGTCTTTACATCTATGTATGTCCCTTTCCAAACACTTGCTTTCATGGACTTGTACTCTTGTTGGTACTTTGAGAGAAAATAAGCCCTACATAGAAAACATAATGGGCCGCAGAGGGCCTGAGAGCAGTACTCTACCGTATTTGGTGTCCATGAAGGAGTAGCTATGTGCTTATACGTACCAAACAGAAACAAACCCGTAATTATGCTCTCCACATTACATTGCGATAAGGCTGTGAACAATGATGATAAGAAGACACCCCATATTATATCTTTCATCATTTCAAAATACGTAAATATTTTAAGGAATTTTAAAAAAGCACTTAAAAGGGGAAAATTCTAAGTAAAATTGTAAATGGGGCACGAAAAATGTTGGTACTTATTCGGGTTGGGTAAATAAGCGGGGAGGTACTTAAGCGATGGATTTTCTTCAGATTATATTATAAAAATTCACGGTGTCCAAAAATGTTGGTTACTTAAGCGGGTAAGGTACTTAAGCGGGTTTCACTGTAGTATAGTTATTTTTACAAATTACGTGCGTATAATAGAAAAACACTACAAAATAGACTGCCGGAATTATTTGGTACCCGGGTACCCGGGCGCTGGTACGGTATACTACATTTCAAGTCGATTATTTTATTGATAAATAACACAATTTTTTTACTTTCAATTGTCCAAGTTCCTTCATTTAAGCTAAATAACGACGATCCGGAGGATGGGAAAGAAATGTCAACTAATACTTGACTTGAAAGGAAAAAGGTCCTGTTTTGGGTACCCCGGTACCCGGGTATTAACACAAGGGTTAAATAGGCACTTATTTATATATAATTAGTGGGATTTATATTCGCGGTGTATATATCAAAGTATCGAAAACTTCCCCATTTATCTTAGTATTCCACCTTATAGTTTTTCTATAAATTGTATTCGCAAACAAAACAGTACCTTTTTATAAGATTAAAGTGTAATTGCTTCGAACATAAACAAACTTAATATGCAATATGGGGAAACCCGAGTAAGACTCACCAAATACTGAAAAGAGCATGCAATTCCAATTCTCGCATTTATGTGTGTAAAAAAGTCAAGCCTTTTTTCACACTTATTCGGAAAATCTGATTTTCCTGTATTACCTCATGAAACAAAGCTGTGAATAACCTTAGTTTTAGACACCTTTAAAAAGAACACCACAATATCACCTTTTAAAAAATCTGAATAACCATAGTTTTATGCTCTATATCTTTTAATTAAACACCATAATATCGCTTTAAAAAATCAATATTTTAACTGAAAAAAGAGTAACGTCCGTAACGTAACGTCCCGAACGAACATACATATGTATTGTAATAATTTTTTAGTTAATCCGACTTTTAGATTTTTTTATAACATATTTTGCTAACTTCATTATTTTTTTATTTTCAATGTAAACTTTTCGCTTATTCTCTAATTACCGGATCCGGTCCGGATTGTTAGGGAAAGAACCTTATATGCAAATTTAGATATTTTACATACATAGTATGTATGTAAATACATATATGTATATTAGACTGAATTATAAAATCTATTATATTTTAAGACGTCCACCAAAATATTTCGGAAAAATATTAAGATTTAAGCGAGCTGGACCGATTTGAAAATAACTCCAAAAATGGAGTTTTTTTATGAATAAAAATAGTTTCTTAAAGATGTTTTTTGAAAAAATCCCCTTAAATTGTTAAGCTTAAAAAAATTGCATGAAAATATTTAAAAAAAATTTAAAAAAATTTTGAATGGAATCGTAATAATGAGATTTTTGATGCTGTTTTTTTAACTTTTTTCAAAGATTGGTATAAGAAAAACTTGAATAACTAAACCTACACTCTTCCGATTTAGACTTGTGCGGTATCATTGGAAAGGTATTTTCTCACTCTTTTTATATCTTTGCTAACAAGCTCATTCAAAGGATGAAAGAGAAAGGTAGGATGAACGAACATCATTCAATGTTGAATTAAGATGTGTTGTATTTGAAAAAAAAAAATGGAACACGAACGACTTTTTTTTGCACATAAATAAAAACAGTGGGAAAATGCCTTTCTACCGAGATCCCATAAGTCTAAATCAGAATAGTTTTGGCCCAGTTATTTAAGTTTTTCGTAAATCAATCTTTGATTAAAACCAAAAACAGCATCAAAAATCTCATTATTACGATTCCGTTGAAAATATTATAACATTTTTTTATGCAGATTTTTTAAGCCTTATATCTTTTGTCATCTGAGGGGATTATTTTCAAAAAGCTCTTTAAGAAACTATTTTTATTCATAAAAAACTCCATTTTTTGAGGTTTTTTTCAAATCGGTCCAGCTCGCTTCAATCTTAATATTTTTTCGAAATATTTTGGTGGATGTCTTAAAATATAATAAATTTTGTAATCCCGGCGGAAAAACCGCAACTTTTTTGGTGATGCAGTCTAATGTATATACATTAATACATACCAAAATCTGCATGTTCATATATCTTCATATACATACTAGTATATATGTATGTACATATGTACATTAGACCACGTCAAAAAATATATAAAAAATCCTGCAATGCGACCAAAATAAGACTAAAATTTTAGCATTTGGTATAGTAATGATCTTCCATGAATCCCTCGTCTCTTGGACAGTTGTATGAAGTCCAGCATCGAGCCTTTAGCTTTCCCATAGGAATTACACGTAAGGAAATTAGTTCTTTCCTTTTGAGATCAATGTAATTTTCTAGGATAAATAAAAACGCTCGAAAGTGTAAGAATACATTACTTAAATGTCATGTCATCAATGTATTCTTACAGTTTCGAGCGTTTTCATTGATCCTAGAAATTAATATTGACCTCAAAAGGAAAGCACTCATTTTCTTACGTGTAATTCCAATTGGAAAACTAAAGGCTCGACTCGGGACCCCTTACAACTGTCCTAGAGAGGAGGGATTCATGGAGGATTATTACTATACCAAATGCTGAAATTTGAGACTTATTCTGGCCGTTTTGCGGAATTTTTTATATTTTTTGTGACGTTCTAATGTACATAAATACATATATGTACAGTAAATTTCCAAATCTGTAAAATTAAAATACTACTTATTCTGTGCTGTACTGTGTGTATTGGTTTATATACCCGAGCGCACTTGTGCACAAGGGTATTATAACTTTGTTCACATAACGGTTGTTTGTAACAGGCAAAACGAATCGAGATAGATATAGAAAAATGTATACATAAAAGATCAGAATGAAAAGAGAAATCGATTAAGAGGCGACTGTCTGTCCGTCCGTCCGTCTGTGCACACGATAACTCGAGTAAAAATTGAGATATCTTAACGAAACTGGGTACGTGCACTTTCGGGCGTAGGACTGATGGTATTGAAAATGGGCAAAATCGGACAATAACCACGCCTACCTCCCATATAACAGTAATTTTCAGAAATACGAAAACTGCGATATTTTAGTAACTACTGAAGATTATTCACTCAAAATTGATATTTGCTATAACTTTGAGACGAAAAATAAGAATATTATAAATTTTTGGAAAATGGGCGTAGCCACGTCCACTTATGGATACATGTGTATATCTCGGTAACCGCTGTACCAATTTCATCCACACTTGGCACAGATGTTAGTCTTGCTACATCATACCAAATGGCCGACAATTTTTAAAATCGGACAATAACCACGCCTACCTCTACGAAATCTTCGATAAATCAATAAATATTAAAGCTAATTTACTCAAAATTGATGCTTGCAAAAATTCTTTACCAAGAAATACGTTTATGATAAAATTATGGAAAATGGGCGTGGCACCGCCCACTTATGATCGCATATATGTATCTCGGTAACCGTTCTACCAATTTGTACCAAACTGGGTATGATTATTGTGCTTGCCAAATAAAAGCAAAACGTTGAAAATTATTGGAATCAGATTAAAATTACGACCACTTTTCATATAACGGCAAGTTTCAGAAATGCTTGAAACTTCAATATTTCGAAATTTAAGGACGCTAATGTACTAAAAATTTATACACCCCAGCTTACCGTTTAGCGGCAGCTTTCGGAAAGGTGAAAACCATATACTTCGTACCTGCGTCGGGTATTTAATGTTCGGATCGGCCCGAACTTAGACTTTCTTACTTGTTATTTATTAAGGACTTTTTATTCAATATTTCCATATATGTAATACTACTATATTGGCAGTAAGCTAACTTCTCAATGTGTAAGCATTCCGAAATCAAAGCGAGACAGTCTAGTACCGTTTTTGTCACTGTATTGTGTACTTGAGTGCCGTTTTTGTATATGTGTTTTTGTATATGTGTTGTGTACATGTTTATTATATATGAATATTTCCAGAGAGAAAAACAGTTGTCTATCGGCTTCAGATTGAATAGCTTTTTTAATTTCTTTCTTTCTTCGAATTTGTACTTCAATTTTTTTATTGTAATTATATTGAAATTATTGGGAATTAACGCTTTAAAATTTAAACTTATTTAAGACTTTTCTGTTGCGTGTGTTGCAAATTTAGAAAACTGCTTACTCATCATCTTAACATAGTAGTTAGTTAACGCTAATTAATGAGGCCAAAAATTCAATAGAGGTGGCTGTAGCCGCGTGGTTAGAGGCACGTACTACAACTCCGCAGAATCTAGGTTCGATCACTGGTCCGAACAACATCTATAATAAGTAAATTTTTTCTACCAGCGGTCGTTCTTCGAACGGCAAGGGCAAACCTACGAATGTGGCTGACTTCCAAAACGTATCAATTCGATGTTTGGAAACTGTTATACTGCGATGTTCAAACTGTTTGTATATGCAGAGTTGCGACACATTGCGACCATATACATTGCATATTTTGAATATTCAATATAGCAATGAATTAAGATAGAAAAATGTAATCTTACCCTTCGACGTCGGCCATTTTTTACTTCGAAATGTCATCAAAGTATCAATTAGCTTAGCGATGCGCAGTTTGCTTTCTGTATACGCATCGATATCTTTTACGATACATTTTGGGAAATGCCACATCGTCAAAAATTGCACATTTGCATTTAGGAATGCGTGACTTTGTATAGTTGCTTTGCAACTGACGTTTTGTAACTCAGCCTGTATTTCTGCCTTAAAATACCTTAAAATCTATTTTTGGTTGGAATGCAGGTGTTCCGCAGGCCTTTATTTATTGTTGAGTAGAGGTTTACATCGACAAGCTTTGCGGCGGCGGCGTGGTCAACTTCAAAAATAATCGGCGGGGTACTGCCAAAGAGCCACGAGGCTACTAATCTTATTAGTGTTGGGCAGTATCGACCAAAAGTACTCGGAACTGGATTCTCAAAAGGATCAACAGCACCCGATTTTTAAAAGTATCGATACTGAGTACTCCAAAGTACTCAACCCTCAAAAAGAACTCGAAAGTATTCAGTACTCACAAAAGAACTCGAAAGTACTTAGTACTAAAAAATACGCTGTACCAATCATCACTTCGATACTTGCACTCAGGACCGATTCAAAGCTCTCAGTATTAAGTGTCGAATATATAATTAAAAGTGCTGAGTTTTATTTATATTTACCGGTATTCAGAAATGATTGGACTAAGTTTGAAGTTTTAATAGTTTTCAAGTACAATACTTGTACCCAGTAAAGTTAGCCATTCGTTTGATGTACATATTTCAGGATTAATATATTAATTTGAACAAAGTAGGTACTTTCGGCTTGTAAGATTTCTACACTAAGCGTTGAAATGCTATCAAAATGTGTAAACTTAAAGAAAGTACTCAGTACTCTAAAAAATACCCGATGCTAGAAAATATCGATACCAAAGAACTCGATTCTCGAAAGTACTCGATTCTTCCCAACACTAAATCTTATCATGTCATCTCGTCAGCGTTAGGCATTCGCCATGCCAATTCCGATTATAATTCTATTTATTTCATTATGAAATTAGTTTTAAATTTAAATATTGTTACTTCCTACTTTAATTAAAATTTCGAGAGAACAGAAGAGGGTCTGAGGTATATCCATACATAAATGGTTCTCTAAGTTCTCTATAGATCCGTATGCACTATTTAAATTTAAAGAAATAAAAAAATTTAAAAAGTTAAGTTATTGGAGTAATTTATGTCGCTATTAATAAATTTTTGTAATAATCTTATTTGCCGTTATGTTTAACTACGGACTTCTTACTATTTTTTGTGGGTTATAGATAGAAAACTAGGGTTGTCTACTATTTTCCAACAGTTTTACCCATTAACTCCCAGTAGAACAGGCCTTTTTGACCCGCTGTTTAAAAAATGGCTTATAGATGGTTAAAATTTCCACTGAAATATTAAGAGCCAAATTTTCCTAAGGATAACCGAAAGTAATGAAGAATACTACTAATTTCCACCAAGAACTTTAACCCTGTATAGAAAACATTGCGATGCGATGGAGCAAAACCTTCCTGGGGGTTGACCACCACTTGTGAATGCTAACATAATTTTCACACAGCCACCTAGTACTTGTGTACGTCTGTGAGACCCCAGAATAAAATAACTTATTTAAAATCTGTTTAAAAAATATTCAACTTTTTATTAAAGAAAAAATACACTCTTTTTGTTTTATCTCCAATAATTGAGGGGTTAGATGCAATAAGGGCACTTCTGTTAAAACTACTTTCTGAGATATTATCATTAAAGTTTTTGTTGTGCGATAACTTTTTTGTTGTAGTAGTAGTATGCAAAAAACGAATATTGTTTTGGTCCTGAACAAAATTGTTATGTATTCTCGAGTAGTAGTTCCTTCAAGCAATGTATTTCAATGTGCATTCATCATGAAAATGTTGTACAAAATTCCTTAGGCGCCGAACGCCGCACAGTGTGTTATTTGCATATTCTAGAAAATATTAATTAAATAATTTCATATCGCCAAATTTCAAAACAACGTCAAAAATGTTTTTAGAAATGCCTGATAGAGACGAAGCAATAACAACTACAAAAGTTAAAAGAAAGTGTAGGGTCGAACGGGATTTGATTTGTAAGATTATCAAGCGCAGTAAAATTTAAACTTGTATATTTGAATCTGAATCTCAATGTTTAATTTGTTGGTGTTATATGAGCAACAATTGCTAAAATACCATTTTGGTCTTACTTTTTATACCCGAGCGCACTTGTGCACAAGGGTATTATAACTTTGTTCACATAACGGTTGTTTGTAAAAGGCAAAACGAATCGGGAAGATATAGGCAAATGTATGTATACATAAACGATCAGAACGAAAAGAGAAATCGATTAGGCGGTGACTGTCTATCCGTCCGTCCGTCTGTGCACACGATAACTCGACTAAAAATTGAGATATCTTAACGAAACTTTGTACGTGCACTTCTTTCGGGCGTAGGACGGATGGTATTGAAAATGGGCAAAATCGGACGGAACGGTAATTTTCAGAAATAGGAAAACTGCGATATGTTACTAACTACTGAAGATTGTTCACTCATATTTGACATTTATAATAATTTTTATACGAAAAATAAGAATATATTTTTTAAAATGGGTTTAGCCACGCTCACATCTGGTGGAGTGCAATAAGGCCGGCGGAAATAACGCCCATGGGCTTTATTTCCTAAAAAAAAAAGAGATAAAGCCCGCGGGCTTTATTGCCTTTAGCGGGTGAGCATTATTTCCCTTTGGATATGGCAATAACGCCCGCGGGCTTTATTTCGTAAAAAATTGAAATAAAGCCCGCGGGCGTTATTTCATCTTTATTGTGGCCCTTGTCTCCATTTTAGAACACGTACATCCCAAATTGAAATTAACAAATTGCAATGCATATATTTTATACATACGTATGTATGTATGTACATGTATATGAAAATTAAATAATTCAAAGTTTCAACAAAAAAAAAGGAACATGAAAAAGTAAAACGTTAAATAAATACTTTCGTCGATTATTGAATAATTTGACGGCAAATTGGACACAAAAAGCTTGTATTACCAGTTAGATTAGTACGCCTACTGAGCTCTGCAAAGCAATCTGTGCAAAGTTTAAAATGATTGGCCGAGCTTCTCCTCCGATTGGCGCTGTGTGCCTTGATGTCACACAAACTACTCGACCACGGCTGATTTATGTTATTATGCCCGTTATTCATTTTTGTTGTTTGCGAAAACTTTTAGTCGCCTTCTCAGTTAAAAAAACCCGTGCGTCATCCACATCACCACAGTATTTCTGCGGCGTGGGTACACAAACAACGCCATCGTACATTCATACAGAACAGTTAAATAATGTAAGTATATAAACCAATAAATTTCCCGGCGAAATGGCGCGCTTGCCGCGGCCGTCAGCGTTTGCCCGCCACCACTGAAAAACCTAAAGAGCGAAATACACCACACAAGCGGCTTGTCAAACATTCTTCAAACCTACTTTTCCCATTTCGGCATACACCATGCAAACATGACTCGTTCAAGCAAAGAATTTTAGTTTTCTTCCAGTTCGCAATGCTAAATATTATGGTTTTCTTTCATTTTCCTCTCTTACGTCCTTACTCGGTGAAAATTTCGTTGCGAATGAGGCGATTTTGCTATACACAACGCAAGCGGTTTGATCAAACATCAACATGGCGGCCAGAAAATCAAAAAATTTTGATTTTTGCTCAAATTTCCCTCAAGCGGTTTGTCAAACCTTCAAACACCCCCATACACAGCACAAATGGCTTGAAGCAAAGGGAAATTTCGCTTGGTTTGTCAAACCGCTTGTGTGGTGTATTTCGCTCTTTAGACGCTGAGAACAAATATGCGCATCACATTGAAGGCTAAAAACAGTAACAATTTAGCTTTAGTTTCCTATAATTGGCAAAAATACCGTTCGATTGTATGCGTATACTGCAGAAGGAAATCTAACGCAGAATTACACTGTATGCAAAAATAGAGAGCAGTTCATTTAAAATACGTTCCATTTTATGCAAATGTATGCCTGTATACATAATTGGATTGTTTCAGTAAAATAAAGCCAGGGAAAATACTACCCACGGGCTTTATTTCCTTTTTTATGAAATAAATCAAGCGGGCGGTATTTCCTTTTCTTTGGGAAATAAAGCCCGCGGCAATTATTGCACTTTCGCAAAGGAAATAAAGGCCGCGGGCTTTATTGCCTTTTATTGGTGAGCGATATTTCCCCTTCGAAATAGAAATAACGCCCATGGGCGTTGGCACAGTTATTAGCTTTGCTATAGCATACCAAATGGCCGAAAAGTTTTAAAATCGGACAAATTGGAGAAATACGAAATCTTCGATAAATCAGTAAATATTGAAGCTTATTTATTCAAAATTGGTGCTTGCAACAACTCTTTATTAAGAAACACGTTTATGACCAAATTTTGGAAAATGGGCGTGGCACCGCTGACGCAGATACATATATGTATCTCAGTAACCGTTGGCCCAAATTTGTACCAAACTCGGTATGGTTATTGTGCTTGCCACATAAAAGCAAAGCGTTGAAAATTGTTGAAATCGGATTAAAATTGAGGCCGCTTTTCATATAACGGTAAATTTCAGAAATGCTTGAAACTTCAATATTTCGAAATTGAAGGACGCTAATTTGCTCAAAATTGATACACCCCGGCTTACTATGTAGCGGTAGCTTTCATACACTTCGTACCTGCGACGGTATTTCAAGCTCGACTCCGCACGAACTTAGACTTTCTTACTTGTTTAGATACGTTCTTTTTAATGAATATACATTTTTGGGATTTTAGTAAACTAGGACTGAGTATTTCATGTTAAAGTAAAACGATGTTAACTTAAATTTGATTTTAGCAATTTATTAATTTCATTCGACCCGCAAACTCTTCATCCGCGATTGTTCGAAAAAGTTTGTGTCTCAGTTTATTTTGCACTCTTCTTAGATTTAAAAAAATACAACTTTAGCTGCTGGAAAGTGCTGGTTTTGATGAAATTTTCTTTTTTTATGCCTACTAGAAATTTTAATTTATTCTAGTAATTCATTTGCATTTGATCTCGACCGATACAAATTTTATTATTTTCACTTTTGAACAGAGAAAACTTGATTCATTACCTTTGGTATTGGTACCCCACCTTTGTAAATAGAGCAGAAAATATTGAACTTATAACCGAATTATGTTGACCAAACTTGACTTTTTATCGATATTTGCCACGACCATAATTAAAAAAAAATGTTTTTAAGTAATTTCCGTCAGTTTATAATTCCTTGTTATAAGGAAATTCATTTTAGCTTTTTTAGTTAGTTAAATATTTCAGCTTTTGCCTTTTTAAAAATTACAGCTTTTGCCTTTTTAAAAATTACAGTAATATATAGGGTGGCGTGACAGTACCTCTAAATTACCAATTTTTTGTAAAAAGCTTCACCTATCTTGCAAAGTACCTTGTGCAAATTTTCATTAATCTATCTCCAATGGTTTTCGAAATACAGAATTAAAAGCAGCTAGATGGGTCAAATCTTACACTGTCCGCCGCGCCGATATTTTCGTAACTAGGCGGCGTATACCTCTATTGTGGAGGGTGTGTTATTTGCTTTAAACTTCTACAATTGGCAACATGAGCGTTTTCGT